GGTGGGCAAAGCTCCCGACGAGGAGCAGTAGGCGCAGCCCCTTTCAGCAAACACTCCGGCTCCCAGACGCCACCGCGAGACGCAGAGGAGCCAGGGGCACCTGGGGCCCCAGCCCCCAGGCGCCGCGGGCGAGGCGTGGGGCGCAAGCCCCAGGCCGCATGCGACTGAGGGCGACAAGCACGCCCCGGTTGCACCATCCTGGAGGGAACGCCGGGGCCGCAAGCTGCAAAGCTGCCGCCCCCGCCACATCAATACTTCCGCCGTTTCGCGCAGAGACTCCTCCGCCGCACTGCCAAGGAACCGCTTGGCCCGCGAAGCAGGCAGAAGCGCGCTAGCCACGCGCCCGCAGGCAGAGGCGTGTGAGCAAGGCGTGTAAGCAAAGAGGCGTAGAGGTGTAAACAATGGGTACTGCGCCTCATGATTTTCTGCTGCAGAAATAAATTTATGATTCACGAAAATCATAACAGCGCCAGCCCATTTCCAGAGATGGCCGGCGCCCCTGCGCCAGCCAGGGGAACGTTGGGAAGCGCTGCCTGGCCGGAGCCGTTTGGGTCTCCCCCCAAAGACTCCCATTGCACCAGAAGGCGACGGACCGCGCAGCAGCGCCGAACAGAATGTCGTGGCATATTTTTGGCCCCTGCGCACACGATGCACAGTTAGGCCTGCTCGCCGTCGCTAGAATCGGAATGATCGACGAGCCACTCTGCGGCCGTCAACGCTCCTCGGCTTTGGGCACTGACATACCCGAAAGCTGCAACGCCCCTCCAGCCACCGCTGAAGAACAAGGCAGCTGGCCCTCCTTGTTGAAGCGCCTCATCTGCAAAACCACGCCTGAATGCGCGGGCCCCCCAGGCAGGCGCGCTCCGCAAACGCAGCGCCGCAGCCGCCAGCTTCAAAACAGCCAGGGCGTCGGCGTAGCGAATCTGAGCAAAAGGGATTGCTTCGCGCTCTCCTAGGGAGAACAACGAACAGACGCCGCACAGCGCCCGGCCCTGCAATTTGCAAATGCAGCGCCCGGTTGTCTCGCACGGCTCATTGTAACACTTCCGGTGGGCGAAGCAGACCACGCATGCCCTGCGATCGCCGATGCTGAAACGATTCAACAACTCAGAATATCGCAAGCAAAATTGCCGAGAGATAACCCAGGATGCTGCCAGGAAAGAATATCCTGCGTCGCAACACCATTTGTGGATTATCTTTGTCTTCTCTTTCCTGAATATGTCCTGATCTTATCCGCACCACGTGCCAATCTTTGCGTGTCTGCCAGGATGCCCAAAGGAGCATTCAAGAGATGCAACACACTCCGCATGTGCGACAGATACCTTTGAAGAGTATGGCCATTGCGGAAGAGACCAACGAACACGTTCAATATCGATTCTGCCGGCGGCCATTCGTCGCCGGAAATGCTTTTGGCCGCCTGGCCCCACAACCTGACAGCTGAAGCATACTGCGGGGCGTTCTTTTTCCATCCCGCGAACTCTATCCACAAAACATGCAGATTGAGGTGATCACTGGTGGATCCTTCGAGCCTCGGTTTCTTTGCTTCTTCGCGCGGGGTGCCAGAAGGCTCGCCCCCTGGGAAGCATTGGCACTGAGAAACAGCGACCAACGCGGCGGCCAACACGGCACACGCAGGAACACTCTGGGAACGCCTGGCGTTGCCAAGAACAATCAGTGCGGCTCGCTCCTTCGCCTCGCTGTGCGCGCCCATATCTGGCACACTTGCAGCGCCAAATATATCAGTGGGCGTGTTGCTTGCACTTTGGGCTGCAGAGGGCGCGCACCCCGCTCTCCACATCATTGCGGCCCCGGCGCGTCTGCGATGCTAATTCGCGGTCAGCGCAGCGCTGGCAATGCGAAAGGAAATTGCTGATGAATCCGAGGCTGTGGCCGCCAAAAGCAGGAACGAGACCGAGAAGATCCTGAGCGCACACGCCGCTCAGATCAGAATGGTGGCAAAAACCATTGCAGGCGAGTGCTTCGCACAAAGCCGACACGTCCAGCGCGCTCTGGCCAGCTGCAGCCCGCAGAGCCTGCTCAAAAATTGACTCTGACTGTCTTGCAGATGCTGGTTCTTGTGGCGCACTAGAGGAGCTGAAGGTTCGATTCCGGCTATCAGAAATGAAGTTGAGCATTCTGAGCCATCACACTACGGAGTAGCAGGCCAAGCAAGGCAAGCGTGTCACACGCACTTTTCCGCACACGCAAGCACGCATGTTGTTTTTCTCGGCGGTCGATGCTTTTCTTCGTCTCACATGCCCCAGGGTGCGTCGTCTGGGAAAACCCAATCGATGCACTGAAAACCGCGCGCAGTCAAGTCGGCAATTTCTTGCGCCTTCTCAGATGGCCGATTGGGCGCATCTGCCAAATTCAAATGAGACGGCACGTACCAGAGATGCATTAAATACGATTTCTGGCTCGCGAGAAGCCACAGATTGCCGATTAGACAGTTCCAATTGGACTCCCGCGAGCAACCCCGCACGAGAGCGCCTAGAGCACTGGTGTTGTCGACAAAGCAGATGATTTCTAAATCGGCGTGGCCGAGCTGCATCACCCAGCGCAGCGCGCACACTGCATTAGCTCCCAAGTGCCAATCTGATTTTTCCGCCAGTGCGCCCATCTGCGGGCGCTTTCGGGCACATCTGTGGAAGCCTACACTTTGGCAAAAGGCGCGTGCAACACCCATGCCATTTTGCCAGCCCCCGTGGCGTCAGTGTACAAAATGCACCTGCGCCGCTCGCGTGGATGCACAGGCACGCGCCGCGAGGGTGGCGATTGCAAAAACTTATGCCACCATGCGAGAGAGAGCCTGGTTCTGCCTGCGATTCGACTCGTGCTGCCAGTGCTGTGGTAAAAAAGGGCTGCCAAAGGCGCCCTGGCGCCCCTGCCAAAAACAGCGCTCGCGCCCCAACTGAGCCGCGATGCAAGTTTCTGCGCCTGCGCTGGCGACAGGAAACCAGTGAGCAGTGCGTCGCTGATTTGGGCACTCCACAACTCGAGTTTTTCCCAACGGATCTGAAAATGCATCTCCTGGGAGACGTCATCAAAGTGAACGTCAACTCCGAGAATCGTCGCGGAAGGCTGTTCTGTGACAGCCTTCGCGGCGTCTAGTTCCCGGCCAAGGAGGTCTGAAATCACCTGCCTGGCTAGGTTCGCTGTACCACTGGGGCCAGTCAAGCTCTGATCGGCTGTGCCATTCGATTCATCGGCTGCGTCGCCTGCAAACAAGTCATCGACGAAGCGGAGGTACAGCACTAGGAAAATAATAACAGCGCCAGCCCATTTCCAGAGATGGCCGGCGCCCCTGCGCCAGCAAGGGGAACGTTGGGAAGCGCTGCCTGGCCGGAGCCGTTTGGGTCTCCCCCCAAAGACTCCCAGCCAGGACAGGGCGCCGGCGCAAGCCTCAAAGGGCGGCGAGGGTGGGCAAAGCTCCCGACGAGGAGCAGTAGGCGCAGCCCCTTTCAGCAAACACTCTGGCTCCCAGACGCCACCGCGAGACGCAGAGGAGCCAGGGGCGCCCGTGGTCCCAGCCCCCAGGCGCCGCGGGCGAGGCGTGGCCCCCAGGCCGCATGCGACTGAGGGCGACAAGCACGCCCCGGTTGCACCATCTTGGAGGGAACACCGGGGCGGCAAGCTGCAAAGCTGCCGCCCCTGCCACATCAATACTTCCGCCGTTTCGCGCAGAACTCCTCCGCCGCACTGCCAAGGAAACGCTTCCCCCGCGAAGCAGGCAGAAGCGCGCGAGCCACGCGCCCGCAGGCAGAGGCGCGTCAGCAAGGCGTGTAAGCAAAGAGGCGTAGAAGCGTAAACAATGGGTACTGCGCTTCATGATTTTCCTGCTGCAGAAATGATTTGATGATTCACGAAAATCTGCATCAGTACGCCTTGAATTGCAAGCTTGAATCGCCCCCATCCGGAAACAAACGCCGACGCGCCAAACGGCATCGCAAGAAGCTGGAGACACTGGTCTTTCGCCAGTGTTTCCGGCCAGGCCACCACTGCCAGAGGCAGATGCGAACTGCAAATGGGTAGCGTTTTAAATGCCTGCACGATGTCGTCTTTGCGCCAGCGAATGCGGAACGGCACGCGGGGCGGAAGCTTCCAAATTGAAGCCACTAAAGAATCTAAGGTTTCAGGGAGCATCCTTTCGGACACCCCTGTGGCAGCATTGACGCCGGAAGCCGAAAAGTCGTCCACGCACCTGACCTTCGGAACTCTGCCAGCGCTAGTGTTTTTCCAGCCCTGTGTGACTGGGAAACGCGGTGTCACGATGCAACGATCGATATTCAAGTGCCGAATTCGCGCTTTGCCTTCTCCGATCTCACGATCGCAGGCAGCAGCAAAACCAGCGGCCACTGTTGCATCAACCTCAAAAGGCGCCGACGCTCGGCGCAGCATGGTGCAGTTCTGCTCCCGCGCGCCCGCAAGCAAGGATTCTTTTGTCACAGACAGGGCTGCGCCAACAGTTTGGGCGCGAACCCCACTAGAGGGCAACAGGCCTACTAAGGGGAAGCCGTGCTGCAAATGTTGCACCAATGCCGAATCTGGCCACGCGATGGAGTGAAGCATTTCGCCTAGGAGGAGAAGATTTTTCCGGGGCCCCAAAACTGCTCGGCAGTGAGCTGGAAGCTGCGCGTAGGCACGCTGCCAGACTGGCTCCGTCACTCGCTTTCTCTCAGCCCAAAACTCCAATGCTTCCGTGCGAGCGCGCTGCAACTCAGACCTAGACATCTTAGCGATGCGCTCGCACCCCGCCTCTAAAAACTGCGGTGGGCGGGGGGCTTCAGCGCAAACGGGCAAAGCACTGGCCCACTGCAAGTGGCCCCATGGACCCAGGCGACGAGGATCATCGCGAGCTAGAAAATTACGCGCAGTGGCACAATCTCCTCGAGACCAGTTTTAAAAGGAACCGCTGCGCAACCAGGGCTGCCTGGCGAGGGCGAGGGGCTGTCCTCCTCGCCCGCAGAGCTGCCGTCTTCGTCGGGTGGCCCCGAACCCACTCACTTCCACCAACGCTTCTCCCAGCTGCTGCTGTGGGCGGTGGCGCGCGGACTCCTGGAGCGGGGGTGGCCCTTGCTCGCGCTGCCCTTGGGACGCCTCTCGGGCGACCGCGGGCGCCTGTCATCGCCGCCCTTGTCGTTCTTCGCGCCCTTGCCGCCGGAGCTCGCGCCTCGGACGTCAGGACCACCCTTGGGGTATCCCTTGTGCGAACCCTTCTGCGCTCCGCCGGCCCTGGCGGTCTCGGCGAAGCGCCTCTCCACCTTGTGTCTGGCGTCCTTCAGGATGCTCCTGTCGATTTCCGTGAAAAACAATGTCAGGTCTTTTTCGTCTCTCTCGAGGGCCTGCGCCACGGCCTTCCGCTGAAGGACGTCGTACAGGAACGCTGTCCTGACGCCGCCGAGGTCTTCGGCAATGCAGATGATGTTGTTAGAGTAGGCAAAGAAATCTGACATCTTGCACGCCTCGGTGAAGATCAGCTTGAAACCCCACTCGTTCAGGTGCCCCATGAACGTCGCGAAACTGATGTAGTCAATCTCGCCCCCATGCACCAGACCGCTTTGCGGCAGCAGACTGCTTCACCCTGTCCTCGTAGGACCCGTCGCCGATGATGGCATCCACGACTGGCGTGCGGCTCCACTGCGGGCGGCGGTGCTCGCGTAAGTCCTCGCCCTCTGCGGAGCCGACCCAGCGGCGGCCTTTGTCGTGAGCAATATTGCCTGAAGCCTCGAACTTGGCCAGCACTTCCTCTGATGGGAGGCTGGCTGCCCCTGGCGAAATCTTGCACGCCTGTTTCGACCAGCCTGTCCTGCAGCTTGAAGCTGAGGCCTTTCCGCTTGCCTTTCTGCAGTGCTTGGCTTTGCAGTTCAGCAAATTGCTTGCTCTGGACGAGTTGGCCAGACGCGGAATGCACTTAAAAAGTGGCCGCGGTCTGCCGCAGCAAACCACACGCCAGCCACCATAGCATTCCAGTCACGCTGGCGGGAGCACCCGCGGAGCAGCGTCCCGAGTGCGACTGTCGAGTCGAAATCGCAACGTCGAGCCCCGCTACGCCTTCGGGCAGACTGAAAAACTGCCAGAGTGCACACACTGCAGCTACTAGCTCCCAGGTGTGGATTTGCTGCTGACGCGGGCAGGCCCACCTCGCAAGCCAGCCCGGCACTGGCGCTGAAGCGAAAAACTTACGCCCGGCCAGCACTGCCACCCAAGCCAGCACGCCTGCTCCCGAGGCGTCAGTGTACACCACCAAACGTGGCTTCACCGATGGCGACAGCGGGACGGCCCTGCTTGGCGGCGAATTGAGGAACCGCCGCCACCACAGGAGCGCAAAGCGCAAACGCTTGGAGATGCGAGTGCTTCTCCCGGCCGAATGCCGGAAGAGCGGCGCCAAATAGACACGCGCGCCCTTGCCGAAGACTGCCGTGGCCCCCCAGCTGAGCCGGTCGGCCAGCTTCTGCGCGCGCGCTGGCGTTAATCGCTGGTCACGGAGCACCTCTGCGATTTCCGCAAGCCACTTGGCGCACTTGTCGTTGGGCACGACAAAGTTTAAACACTCTGCGGTTGCGCCCACACACACGAACGCCCAGCGCAACAAAACTCAAAGATGCCGTAACTGCTTTATGTGAATCAAGACGCCAGCCCAGCCAGCGGCGCTTATGGCGCTATCACCCCATTCGCGCGCTTGCTCTGCATCAATGCCGAAAAAATCGCCCGCGAAACGTGGATACACGATGCTAAACAAGCGCAAAAGCATGGCTTGAAAGCCGCGCCCACGCGCTGCCAGGCATGGACACTCGCCTTCCCCCCAAAAAGGACAGCAGAACAGCTGCAGGAACTGATCCTGCGATACGGACTCCGCCGTCACAGCGGCCGCAAACGGGAGGTGCTCACTATGCAGCGGGAGAGTTTTGTAGGCCTCACAGACGTCATTCTTGTGGAAGCGGACGTCCGCTGCGCTGGCTCCACCAGCGACGAGGCACTGCGCCGCCGCCACTAAATCATCGAGAGTTTCGTGGGCGACGCGTTCGGAGACCGTGGTCGCGCCATTGACCCCGGAAGCTGCGAGGTCATCGATGGCGCGGACCTTGAGAGACCACTGTGCATCGCGAAAGCGCCAGCCCTCGTCCACAGCGAACCGAGGGGACAACACCACGCCCGAGAGATCCGATGGCAAATCGCGCCACTCGGCCTTTCCAGCCGCCACCTCCGCGGGTGCGTTTCGGATTCTTTGCAGGATGCTAGCGTTGGCGCCTGGCGCTGCCTCCAACGGCTCCTCTGGCGATGTGTGGCTAACGGCGTCGCTCAAGCACATGGTACCACTCGGGGGGATGTACTCCGCTAGAGGGAAACCCTGCGCGAGCGATGCTGCGAGGTGAGTGTCTGGAGAGCCCGAGGCCTCCAGCATCTCGGACAACAACGCCAAGTTCTTCTCAGGCCCCAATATGGCACGGGCGTGCGCCGGCAAGCGCGCGTACTGGTCGCGCCGCGCTCGCGCCGTCACCTGTCGGCGGTGTTTCACGGCGCGTAAACTTGTTTCCGCCACAGGAAAATCATCAGAAGCAAGCCCTCGCATTGTTTTCTCCTTGCTTCTCGCCTCTATGCCTCTTCGCCTGCCTCGCGGGCTAGTAGTCCTCGGCAAGCCGGCGATTCCGTGGAACGGCGGAAGTAAGCTCCTGGGCGTGGCTGTGCTGGCGTGGGGTTTCTCGAGGCTTACCCGCGCTCCTCGTCGCCGCAGCCCGCGCTCCTCGTCGCTTAGGCGCGTCCGTTGTCCTCGTCGCTTGAGCTTCCTGAGGAAGCAGCGTCGAAGGCTAGTCGATTAGAGTGTCGTCCTGCCGCTCTTGCACAGCCGTGTCCGCCGACTTGGGGACCTCTGGCTTGCCACGCCTGCCGACTTGGAGGCCTCTGGCGCCAAGCCCGCCGACTTGGGGGCCTCTGGCATGGGCCCCTGCCTTTTCGCGGGCAAACCCAGGGTCCCTGTCTTCTCGCGGACAAACCCAAGCCCTAAGGGCCGTTCCCCTTCGAGCCTTTGCCTTTTCGCGGGCAAACCTAGGCTTCCTGCTTTCTCGCGGACAAGTGCTGCTTCAAGAGCGTGATGCTCTCTGGCGGGACCGCTCTGTCTGGCGCGCCCGCGCTCGTCGCCACCCTGGCCCGCCGAAAGGGCATCCTCAGCCATGTCCGCCGACTTGGGGACCTCTGGCTTGCCACGCCTACCGACTTGGAGGCCTCTGGCGCTACGCCCGCCGACTTGGGGGCCTCTGGCATGGGCCCCTGCCTTTTCGCGGGCAAACCCAGGGTCCCTGTCTTGTCGCGGACATACCCAAGCTCTAAGGGCTGTTGCTCACCGCGCCTGTGCGCCGTCTCTGGCCCACCCGCATACCACCCTCGCGGCTTTCGCCGGTGCCCTGTCCTGGCTGGGAGTCTCGGATTGAGATCCAGAAGATCCCAGCCAGGCAGCGCTTCCCTCAAGCCCCTTGCTGGCACGAGGGCGCCGGCCATTTGTCTGCACGCACGAGGGCTTGGCGGCCGCAATGATTTTCCAGTATTTCAACTGGCGCCACCTGAACTCGCACAGTGCGCTAGGGTCGGCTGAATGCCAATTAGTTGCATTTCTAGACGCCTCAGGGATGGAAAACTCCCCGGTGAAGCGGCAGGTGCAGCCCCCAGTCAAAATGAGCAAACGGGCCCATGCCCGCTAATCTAACAGGATCACTTAAAAAGTGCTCTACAGCGCCACAAAGAGCAGAGAAGCCTTCGCCGGCGCTAAACACGCCCGAGGCATCGCCGAGGGGTTGTCCTTCTCCGAAGGCGCCTCGCTGGAGGCAAACGCCGGTTCACTTCACCAGCTGGACCACTTCTTCTCCTGGCCTTTGGTGTGCCACTGCGCAGAAGCTGCGCCCTTGCCTTTGGGGCTTGCCTCCTTGCGAAGGCGCGAACCCCTGCGATGACGCCGGGCCGCTCGTCTGCTTCGAGTTGGCCTGGTTGACCTCCTCGGCGCGCTGTTTGACCTTGTGCGAGGCGTCTTCCAGCACGTCACGATCCAGCCTGCACAGCAAGACCTCGACCTGGTCGCCCTGGCCCTGCTCGAGGGCACGGGCCAGCTTCTGGCGGAGAAGCAGGTCGTAGTAGAACGCAACCCTCGTGCCGCCGCGCTCCTCACACAAGCGCGCCAATTGCATCTCGTACGCCCAGTACTGCACGGGCGTGATCACCTTGGAGAGAACCATTTTGGTGCCCCAATCGTGGAGGTGACCGAGAAAATTCGCGAAGCCCATGAAGCCGATCCGCTCCTCCATGGTGCGGGCCCGTTTCGCTTCCCGGGCCTCCGTGACTTCGTCACCGATGGTCCCGTTGCCCACGAGGACGTCCAGTTTAGGCGTTTTCGAAAACCCTGGGCGGAAGCACATCTTCTCCTTCAGAGGAGCCCACCCATTTCCGGCCCTTATCCCTGGCAATCTTTGCCGACGGGAGATTTTCCATAGAGCCTCTTCTGTGGGGGGTAAATCTTCTTGGACGCACCGGAGCCCCACTTCAGCGATCCTGTCCTACAAGTTGAAGCTCAACATCCCGCGCTCAGCTTCTTTCTCCGCCTTGGCGTTTTGCACCTTGGCCCACTGCAATGGCCTGGGCAGTCTGGTCCGCGGCGCTGCTGGAGCCCGGGCGGCCCGACGGGAACTCACGCATCGCCTTCGTTTGGACCTTGAGGCCAAGGTGATGTGGGCAGGTTTGAGCTCGAAGTTTTCCCATTGCTCATCTCGGTCCTGGTCGAAAGGAACAGCGTTCACTTGCAAGCTACTGATGACAAAATCACGCATCTTCTCTTCTGCGTAATCAGTGGGCTCCACTGACCCAATGGACTCGGCGAGCGCCCGGGCCGTGCCCGCGTAGAAGATGAGCGGGTGAGTATCTGCTGGGGCATCCTGCACAGACGCCACGAACTGCACCCACTGAGCTACCTCGTCGTTCCCGCTCCCGCCGAAAGCGCCCTCAGCAGAGACCATGGCGCGGACGTCGCTGTCCGCGAAAACCATATTGAGTGCGGCCCTCAGAACGAGTACTTGGGACACCTTTGCTGGGCCGGAGGGGTCGAGTGAACTTGGCAGCACCTGTCTTTCTGAGCCATCACAGCAACGGGCGTGTGTAGGAAACACGGGATTCTGTCGACAACGCCTGGACCTTTCGGCAACGCAACTGACATTCCCTCTGTGGCACATAGGCGAGCCGTTTCAGGCTTCGAGCACCCCCACTTGTGTCCAGCAGCCAGTTTTCCGATCGCGCTCAGCTGTCACAACTGCACGTCGGCCGCTTGAGCCCCAGCGCGAAGGAAGGAAGGGGAGAGAGACCTCCGCACCGCTCCGCCTTCCCTGGGCGCAAATTCGCACAGCTCTCGCTGCTGCACATCCCGGCGACCCCCTTTGACGTCCATCGCGGCCGGGGGGTCACTCGGGCCACCTTGGAGCGAAACCATGCAAGCTACAGCAGTGCCACGCCGATCCCAGTCGAACCCCTTTTGCCCGCTCAGCGGCCAGGGAACTACATGGGTCTCCCTGCGCCCCCCCCTCCGCCGGGCCCGAATGAATAGAGGCAGTCATTTTCAGCGTGCCAAGGCCTGTTTTGGCCAAGTGGCAGCGCGCGAGGGGCTTCCGCACACCCCACGCTTCTGCAGACAGACGTCGTCGCCCTTAAAATTCAGCGTCGCCCCTCCCTGGCGTTGCGTTTCCGCGCGCGCAATGGGCAGCCAGCTTCCGTACAGCTGGCAGGGGACATCCTGGGACTCACCCAGACGCCCCAGCCAGCGAAACGTAACGCACAGGAGGGTGGGCGGGAAAAACCACGCCCAAGCGATGCGGACAGACAGACAAAAAGACAGACAGACAGACAAACAAACACACAGACGGACGGACAGACAGACGGACAGACAGACGACAGGACGGACAGACAGACCCCGACCGGCCGACGCTCCCCCGCAGTGAAGCGTGGGAAAAACAACAACCATTGGGGCCACAGGAGATCCCCCGAGGAGCCAAGCTAGGGAACTCCCAGTAGGGAGCGCTCGCTGCCGCGAGCTTGCTGCTAAGAGGAACAGAGGCCATGATGCCTAGAGGCATGGGTCCCGTGTGCTCCTCGAATTTCACTGCCCCCCAAATCGCTGCGCGATTTAGAGGCGACTAAAATTCAGCGTCGCCCCTCCCTGGCGTTGCGTTTCCGCACGCGCAATGGGCAGCCAGCTTCCGTGCAGCTGGCAGGGGACATCCTGGGATACACCCAAACGCCCAATGCACACAGGTGGTCCGGACAGCTGCATTGCGGAAGTGTCTGGAAGGAAGCGGCCCCGTTGCACAGACCAGACGCAATCGCAACTGCGTTGACTTTCTGCGGCCTGCTTGTGGGCGCGTTCGCGCTCGACGCGCTGCTCAGGCGACCGCCTGTTCGCCTGAAGCGATGTGCGCGTCTCCGCGCGGCCGCACTTTCCAAGAATTCTCGTTTACAGCGCAATACGCGCCTCGATTCCAATCGGGCCGGACGCTCAGTGCTGTGCATCCTGCGCTCAAATGCGCAACCTGGCCGCGCAATCGCGTCCACCTCCACCCTCAAGTGTTCGACGCCCAGATTCCGCAGCTCGGCGCGCTTGCACTGGTTCCAGCACCACTGCAATCTGGCGCGTTCCGCGCTCTTCGCCTCTTCGGCTTGCAATTTCGCGCCCAGATTGCTTGTGTTCTGCCACAAACATGCGTTTCGCGCCGAGATTGCGAATCTATCGCTGCCGTGGTGGCGAAAACGCACTGCTGGGCTGGGCACACTTAGCTGATTCCAGCGCAGTTGCGTGCACTCCAGCACGCACGCGTACTTGGCGCAAGTGCGCTCAGATTGCGCGTCCGACACGATGCGCCACGGCCAGGCGCAAACGCGCAAACCGGCGCATTCCGCGCTGATATTCCAACGTTGAGCGCGCCGCGCCGGGGTGCACGCGAAGTCTGGAACATTCTGCGCTGAAAATTACAGATGCGGGCGCGCGTCCTGGCGTCAGCATGTACTTCGTCGCATTCTGCGCTCAAACTGCACGCCCCGCCGCGTTTCGCCGTGTCGGAGCAAACGCGCTAACCGACGCATTCCGCGTGCAATTGAAAATTTTTGGGCGCGTTCCGCCGTCATGGCACCAACGCGGACTTTGACGCATTCCGCAGTAAGATTGCGGACAGGCGATTGCGTCCCACCGTTCCTGGAACAAACGCGCAGCTGGCGCATTTCCCAAAATGACGCCCACGCGCGCGCCCCGCAGGCGTCCCGCGAGCGCCTCACGACTGCCCCGCAGGCGTGCCGCGAGCGCGCCGTCAGCGCTCCGCCAGGCGCCCCGGCGAGTGCCTGGCGAGTGCCCTGCGAGCGTTCTCATAAGTACCACGGGCGCGCCCGAGCGCCCCTCGAGCGTCCTGCGATTGTCCCGCGAGAGGTTCGCGAGGCTCGCGGACGCCACGCGTGAGCCGCACGAGTGCCCCGAGCACCCTGCGGGACGCCTCCACAGACACTGCGCGCGCGCCGCGCGCGTGCCCGCGAGCGTCCTGCGAGCGCGGGCGCGCCACAGGCGTCGCGCGAGCGTCCTGCGGACGGCCCCGGTCGCGAGCCCCCACGAGCGCCACGCGGGCGATCTGCGTGAGCGGTGGAGACTGTGAAAATTATCGTCGGGTCAGTGCCATCATCAGTGCTGCTGTGCTCTCGTCGTCAGCAGCGGGGTTGGGGTCCGGTTCCGAGAGCCCCAGCATTGGGTCTCGAGGGCTCCTTGGGGTCTCTCGTGCTCCCCTCCCCGGCTGCACGCTGTGAGTCGCCCAACGGTCCGTGCGAGCGCACAGGACCATCCCAGAGGAGAGCGGCCGCACGAGAATTTTCATCATCCCCAAGCTTTGGTTCTGGAAATGAATACTTCACGCCGGGCCGCACTTTAACCCCTCACGGCTTTCCCCCCATCCTGTTCCCCCGTCTCTCTTCTCCTTTCCTAAACCTCCGTCTCCCCACCTCTCCTTCCCTGCCTCCTCTCCTCTCCTCACTCTCCTTCCTCCTGCCTTCCTGTCCTCCTTCCGCTCTCCTCCGCCTCATCCTCCTTCTCATCCCCCCTCCTAGTCTCTCTCTCCTCTCTCCTGCTCTGCTGCTTCGGCTGCTCACCTTTGCTCTCGGCCTTCCGGAGGCACATAGCCGGTAAGAGGGCGCCTTTCCATCGGAGCCGCCCGTCCCCCCACCCTCCTCCCCTTTCTCCTCTTCCTCCTGTCCCCTCCCTCCTCCCCTCCTCCTCTTCCTCCTTGGCCTCTCCTCCTCCGTCCTCCCGTCCTTCCTCCTCCTCCTTGTCCTTGTCCTCCTCCTCCTCCTCCTCCTCCTCCTCCTCCTCCTCCTTGTCTCTCTCTCTCTCTCTCCCTCTCTATCCCTCTCTCCTGCTCTGCCTTGCTCGGCCTCCGAGGTACAAGTCCCACCCACGAACATCTTCGCCTCTGCCTGGCGGGAAAGCCAGGCGGCGGTGCACCGTGCAGGCTCTCACCGGGCCAGCCCGTCGCCTGCCTCCGGGCAGCCGCAGGCCCCGACCACCTGGGAGGAGGGCGGGGAGGCAGGCAGGAGAGGCGGAGATGATGATGCTGCTGATGATGATGCTCATGCTGATGATGGTGATGATGATGATGCTGCTGCTGATGATGATGATGATGACGATGATGATGATGATGATGGTGGTGGTGGTGATGATGATGAAGAAGATAATGCTGATGCTGATGCTGATGATGATGAGGAGGAGACGAAGTCGGATGAGGGAGGAAGGAGGAGGCGTAGGAGGAAGAGGAGGAGAAGGAGGAGGAGGAAGAGGAGGAGGAGGAGGAGGAGGAGAAGCAGGAGACAAGACAAGACAATACATCGCAACGGAGCTCCGAATCGAGTCGGCGACCGATCGAGAAAGCTCTGTGCGCTGCCTCGGCAGCTGCCCTCGCTCGCAAACTTCAGCTGCGCTCCGATCCACCGGTCGGTGGGCCCCCGCGGGGCAGGGCCCGCCAGCGCCCTCCGCCTTCTCGGCCGACGCTACGCAGTCGAGCAGGATCGGCCAGAGCTTACGAGCTGCATCCGAGCTCTGGACGTCCAAGGCCACCAAGAGAACGCCCTTGACGCTGTCGCCTGGGCGGCCCTTCTTGCACCGGCACGGAGCGACCAAGAGCGCGGGGGCCTGCGGGGTCGACTTCTCGACGGCGGCGCCCCAGAACTTGGCGAGATGGTTGTTACCGTTCTCGTTGGGCGTGTTGCCGCCTGGATCTGTCTTGCAGATGGCCCTGCGCACGATGGTGACGAACAGGGCGACGAACGGTGGGCCGCGAGCTTTCCGATCTACTGCTTCGCCTTCCCTGTCGCGTTCCTTGAGCTCCTTGGACGTGGTGTCGCATTGCCTTGCTGGACTCCCCGACACTCCCGGAGGAGGAAGAGGAGGAGAGGATGCACGGGCGCAAGGCGTAGACGGGGGACGGGACGGCAAACTTGCCCGCCAACGCCGTGTGCAGAAGACTGAAGCCACTGCGAAACCAAGACCGGGCCCGCCACGCAGGCTCACGGAGCCCGCCGCGGCCCACGGAGGCGGCGACGAGGAGAGCAGAGGCGCCCCGACAGCACAAAAGGCCTTGGCCTTGGCCCTCCCGGGCGGGGGCCCAAACCGAGCCACTCGCCAGCCCCGCGGGGACGGAACCCCAGCGCTCCTCCTCCTCCTCCTCCTCCTCCTCCTCCTCCTCCTCCTCCACCACCAACGGCCGTGCTCCGCAACCCCCGGCCAACAGTCTTCCAAGCCGAGCCCGGCGCCCAGGCGGCCGCCTGCTGCCGCCAGCCCGCGGAGCCACCGCCCCACGACAGGCTGCGGCAAGTGTTCTGCTCGCGCGGCCTCGCACATCAGCAGACGAGCACAGGGAGCCACTGCCGACGACACCACCCAGCATCCATGGATGCACAGTGGGAAGGGGTATACTGCCCGCTCTCCTCGCCGGAAGACGCCCAAGCGGCATCAGAACGGGCGAGAATAGGGGAACAAGAAGTGGCATATACAGAAAAACTCGGAGGTCCGCGCGGATTTCTCGGATCGGCGCTGGGACCCCCCTCCCTGGCGCGCTCCGCGCGCCAGGGGCGGCGCCGGAGGCGCCGCCGGGGGGCCCCAGCGCCGATCCGAGAAATCCGCGCGGACCTCCGAGTTTTTTTTATGTTCATGTCACTGTGTGCTCCCCGAGAGAAGGGCCTGCATGAGAGAGCGCCTGCCCGTGCTGGGGGGCATGCGCACAGCACTCCGCTCGGCTTCTGCCGGGCGCGCGGCGCCGACGCTGGCCGCTGGGCCATCCCCCACAAGGCGTCCATGCTCTCCGCCTGCGCAGCTCCGCGCGGCCTCGTCGGGAGCTCGTGCATCCGGGGGCTGCCAAAGGCGCCCGTGCCCCCAGCTTTTCGCGCAATTCTGAGTCCCTTGGGGCCCTCCGGGCCTCGTGAGGGGTGCTCTGGAGGCCTCGGGGGCCTCCCTGGAAATCCTGGGGGCACCCTGGGCCCAGGGGCACTTCTGGCAGCACCCGAAGGCACCTGCCGGTGGAGGGAGTCCACCTCGCTCTCCTGGCTCTCGAGGTCGACCTCAGCCTCCGGCAGCTGCTCCTCCGTCTCCTGCAGCAGCTCCCGCGGGGCCCCCGCGTCAAGGCGCCCGCGCTCGGCCTGGCGACGCCTCTTGGCCGCCCGCTTTTGGGCGGCAGCTCCGTCGACCCCGCGGGGAGGGAGCCCTCGGCAGCGACGGCCTCCGCGGGGACCGTCGGAGGTGCCTCCGCGGCCACCTGCACCACGCCTGCGACGGCCCGGCCGCCCGGCCCGGACTCGAAAAGGACGCGAGGCCGCCAATTGCCGACCCCGCACCTCGCTCGGCGGGGACCTCGCCGGCTCGGAGCCCCTCGGCGGCGGCCCGAGGGGGCCCCCCGCCGCCCCCGCCCCCCCGTGCCCTCCGAGGCAGCGGCGCCCCTCTCGGAGAGAGTGCCGTTTGGTGCACGCAGCGCGGCTCCACGCGGGGCGCCTCCCGCGGCGACGGCAGCGTGCCGAGGGCCTGCAGCACAGCACCAGCCACGTCGGGGTCTGGCTGCGCCGTGTCCTGGTGGGCACCGCTACCACGGGCAGGAGGAGGAGGAGGAGGAGGAGGAGGAGGAGGAGGAGGAGGAGGAGAAAGAGAAAGAGAAAGAGGAGGAGGAGGAAAAGGACGAGGCAAGCGTACGACTGGAGGAAAAGGAGGAGGAGGTGGAGGAGGAGGAGGAAGAGGAGGAGGAAGAGGGAGGAGGAGGAGGAGGAGGAAAAGGAGGAGGCAAGCGTACGACTGGAGGAAAAGGAGGAAGAGGAGGAGGAGGAGGAGGAGGAGGAGGAGGAGGAGGAGGGAGGAGGAGGAGAGGAGAGGAGAGGAGGAGGAGGAGGAGGATCTCATCATCATCCCTTCTCCCCCGCCCTACATATGGTAGTGTTGGTGGAACATTTGCCCACCATGTCCATAGGTACCATAGGTAGGAGGAGGAGGAGGAGGAGGAGGAGGAGGAGGAGGAGGAGGAAAAGGAGGAGGAGGAGGAGGAGGAGGAGGAGGAGGAGGAGGAGGAGGAAAAGGAGGAGGAGGAGCTCCTCCTCCTCCTCCCTTCTCCCCCGCCCTGCATATGGCAGCGGTGGCGGAACATCTGCCCACCGTGTCCCTGCGCCCAGCCCGAAGCCCCACACCGGCGCCTCGCCAGCTCGGACTCCACGCCGAGCCCGGGCGCGCCTCTCTCGCCTGGTGCGCGCGCGGTGTGCCGCGCGTGCTGCGGACGCGCGGGGCTGCCCGAGCTTGCGCGTTTGCAGGGCGCGTGCAGCATGAAGTCGGGCCTGTCCCCCTACAAGGGGATTTTGGACGAAAAACAAGAGATACCCCAAAACATAGACTCAAAAATATACCCCAAAATACTTTTAAAAAATGCCCCCAGACTGTCTTTATTTTTGTTGGGATATCCCCCCTGTAGAGGGACAGGCCCGACTCAAGTGCAGCATCCTGCCCTTCACCCCGGGTCACCCCCAACTTCGCGCAGTCGCGCCCCACGATGCGCGACGCGCGGCCACCTCCGCGCCCCCCAGGCTGCCCAGTGCATCCAGGCCGTCCACGGTGACCTTGCAGCCGCAAACCGACCACGAAACCGAAACCGACCGAAACCGAGAGGCCGCAAGGAGCTTGGAAGGCCGCAGCGATGCAGCAACAGCACGACAGCCGACCGGACCGCACCGACCGAGCACCCGCCGCGACGCGGCCGAGCCGACTGCACCGCGGACAGACCCTGTCCACCGCGCGCTCGGCAGCGGCAAAACCTGCCGTGCCCACCCTCTCGCGGGATCGGAGCCGCGGGGCGACGGCTGAGGCGGTGCGTGGCCACCAGACCTCTGGGCCAGGTGCGCTCGCCGCGCGATCGGTGGGCCGCTGCCCGAGCTCCGGGGCACCTCGGTGCTGGAGCCGCAGCCTCGGCACTGCTGCGGCCCGCGCGGCAGCGGACGCCAGGGATCGGCAGCAGTGCCGGCACCGAGGCACCGCGCGCGGCCTGAGCGCGCGGTGCGAGGCCAGGTCATCCCACCGCGCGCGCCCCTGGGCCAAAATGGCCACGGAGGGGGCGGAGAAAGAGGAGGAGAAATGGGAGGAGACAGAGGAGGAGGAGGAGGAGGAGGAGGAGGAGGAGGAGGAGGAGGAGGAGGAGGAGGAGGAGGAGAACGGAATGGGCCGCGCTTATCTCAGTGTGTCGTTGCGAGCGAGCGAGCAGCAGGGGGATGGAACGGGAGGGCTAGAACGCCTCCTCCTCCTCCTCCTCCTCCTCCTCCTCCTCCTCATCTTCCTCCCCACCCGCCCCCCGCGATGTCCGAACGAGGGGGGCCGAGGGTGACGGAGGTGGCTTTGGCGGGCGATGGGCGCCAGGAGAGGGACGGGCACAAACGCACGCTCGCCGACGGGAAAGCCCGACCCCTGGCGACCGTGGCCGAGGACGGGCCCTCCCGGGCGCGGCCGCCCCCCTGCCGGTGTGGTAGGCTCCGGCAGCCGTGCCCCCCCTCCCCGAAAAAGCTCTCGCCCCTCGGGGGGGACGAGCTATCGCCTCCGCCGGCCCTCCGCCCGCGGAGGCGGCCCTGCTCTGCTCGCTGCCGCCCTCCGTCGGCCTTCCGCCGCGGCCCTCCACGGCCGTGTGGCCGGACGCCCTGGCCTGGCCGTGTCGACAGACGCCCTGGGCCCCGGGGGCTGGGCCCCGGCCCCCCTTCGGTCCTCAGGAGGAGGGGCAACGGAAAGGGGGGGGGCAGCTCGGGAGGGCAAGCGTCGAGCTGGCACCGGTGATGCATCGCCGACAGATCGGCGACGGGCTCTCGGTAGCGAGGGGCCCCACGGTCCTGGGCGGCGCGGGCCAGCGGGCCCTGATATCGGCGACGGGTGGGCGATTGGGAGTCGATGCGTTCCCCCCTGAACCGCTCCACCCTTGCGTTGCCCCCCCCAGACCCCCGACGTCGTGAGAAACTCACGACGTCGGCCCCCCGAAGTCTGGAGACCTTCCCCAGGACCGGTCTTCCGTCCCGAGTCGTTTCTTGACGCTCCCGAGGCCCGGCGGGGGCCTCCAGAGGCCGAAAATCATCAAAAACCTTCGTCGTGGGTTTCTCGCGACGTCGGTCGTTTTTTGACGCTCCCGAGGCCCGGCGGGGGCCTCCAGAGGCCGAAAATCATCAAAGACCTTCGTCGTGGGTTTCTCGCGACGTCGGAGGTCTGGGCCGCTTGGGCGGCGAGGCGCCTTTTTCTGGAGCGCGCCCGTGCGGAGAGGTCGGCCGGTCGAGCGGCAGAAAACTGCGCGCGCGGGGCGCGGGCGGGCCTGGCCGCGGTGCGCGGCGCGCCTGCCGCGGCCCGTGGGGGAGGGCTCGAGGTGTGCGGGGGACGGGCGGGTGGGCGGCGCGGCATGAGAGCGTACCCAGACCCCCTCGCGTCGTGAAAAAATCACGACGGGAGGTTTTTCGTAATCTTTGGCCTCTGGGGGCCCTCACCGGCCCTCAGGACCGTCAAAAAACGACGCAGGACGGAGAACCGGTCCCGGGGAATGGGTCGAGACCTCGGGGGGTCGACGTCATGAAAAAATCATGACGTCGGGGGTCTGGGTAGCGATGAATGCAAGCTGGGCGTTCGAACGAGGAAGGAGCGGGAGCAGGGCAGCGCGAGCAGGCACCGAGGCAGCGAGGAAGGAGAGAGAGACAAGCGAGGGCGGAGCCAGCAGCCAATCAGCGAGCAGGCAGGGCTGGTCATACAGTGTACACAATGATCGCCTCTCATGGCCACTTTCCAGAATGTGCAACTGAGGCGAGCCTGTGATATTCTGGCATTGACGCACCATCCATTACAAATGGTACGAATCGGGCTACACAACACACATGGGGGGACCAAAGCTTGCAACCTGTGAACAATCCGACTGAGCAGCAAGGCTTGATTCGGGCTCACTTCGGGATGAACGTGTTGAGCTCTGGCTAGCAGCACCCTCGCTGCAGACACCTGTTTCATACCACGCAGCAGCATCTCCGTCTTCCCTTGAGACGCCCGGCTCCAAACAGCGGGATCAGGGAATATCCCGCAGCAGCCGGATATTCTCGATCGTATGATACCGCATAGTCTGCTCACACCAGGGAGTCCTTTTCCACAAGATCGCAACATCATCTTCTTCCGCGAACGAGCCCGAGAGATCCAAGACGTCCTCGAAGGCACGGGATTTGAGGGCGGCTGAGGGCCGAGGGAGGGGATGGGGGACGGAGGAATACGGACGCGCACGGAGAAGGGAGGGAGCAGGGAGGGAGAGGCGAAGGGGGAGGAGGAGGAGGAAGAGGAGGAGGACGACGAAGATGGAGGGAGGGAGGAAGGGAGGGAGGAGGGAGGAAGGGAAGGGGAGAGGGAGGGGGGAGGAGGAGGAGGAAGGGGAGGAGGAAGGAGGAGAAGACGAACGGACCAGGCGAGGCTCAGGCCGCCTCCATTATGATCACTTGCGCTCGGCCGAGCGGGCCGGGGGGACCCTCGAAAATCGGCCGGGCAGGAGCCCCGGCGGCGCCGCTTCTCGCGGCGCCGCGCCGGGCACCCCGCCGGGCTCGCGAATTCGCCGAGCTTGTCTTGGAAGGGGAGGGGAGCCTCCACATCCTCGTCCTCCTCCTCCCCCTCCTCCTCCTCCTCTTCTTCCTCCTTCTCCTCCTCCTCCTCCTCCTCCTCCTCCTCCTCCTCCTCCACTCCTTTTCCGTATATAACATATCTCCCTGTCGCACCCCGAGGCCAGGTTTTAGGGCGGGCCGGGCGTTTCGCCTGAGAATTCCTCCCCATTTATGATTCTCAGGCTGAGAAAGTGGCAACAGTTTCACAGATGGAGGGCGGGTGGTTTTCAAAATGTGGCTCTCGCCTTAGCGCCGCGCACATTCGTTCAATAAATTGCAAGAATTTCACGGGTTGGGGGTGGGTCGTTTTCAAAATGTGGCTCTCGTCTTAGTGCCGTGCACATTGGCTTTAAAAGATTACAAGAGTTTCACGGATCGAGGGCGGGCTGTAATCAAAATGTGGCTCTCGCCTTAGCGCCGCGCATATTCTTTTCAAACAGTTGCAAGAGCTTCACGGATTGAGGGCGGTTCCTTTTGGCTCTCGCCTTAGCGCTGCGCAGATTCGTTTAGGATATTTGCATAAGCTTCACGGATTGAGGGCGGTTCCTTTTCAAAATGTGGCTCTCGTCTTAGCGCCGCGGCGCACATTCGTTCATAAATTTTGCAAGAGTTTTACGGATCCCCAAGATCAACGTACCAGAAATGGTGTTTTGGATAGATTCAGGATTATGCGGGTGCAACAATTATGTTGATTCGCGTTGTTGTCCCAAAAATGGCACTGGACGATTCTGGATCGTCAAGACGCAGCAGTCAGGTTGATCCGTGGCGTTGAAATCCCGAGAACAATATTCTGTCATGCTGCAGGGTCTTCAAGTGTGTCTTTCGACGAAGCAGGACCCTCAATGGAAATGAACCGTTGTAGGGGTTTATGAAGAGGGAGCTTGGAGGGAGGATTAATTCCAACATCGTTGATGACTCTTTGGTTTACACTGGTCCTCCTCCTCCTCCTCCTCCTCCTCCTCCTCCTCCTCCTCCTCCTCCTCCTCCTCCTCCTCCCCCTCCTCTGCTGCGAGAAACTCCTGGCAATGATGCAGCAGGACAGGCAAGTGCCCGCAATATCTGTAAGACTTCGTCGTGCCATCCTGCATGACACCATGCAGCGATAATCACACATCAACCGATACCTCATGGGGAGCTGGATCAGTTGTCCGCGCTCGCATGCGCAGTCTACGGGATCGGTCCAGGCACGAGACGCGAAGAGGAGCACGGAAGCCGCGAGGGATCATCGCGCAAACGCTTCAGGGCCTCGCGGCTGGCGGACAGCACATGGCGGAAAGATCCTGGGTGATCTGCACGGCCCGGGGGGTACATCTCGGAAGCTGGGCGAGGGCTGCTAAAACGGTGGCTGCTAAAACGGCCCTCCCGGAAGGAAAAAACAACTTCCCGGAATGAGGCGCGGCACGGGAACAGTCACCGGAAGGACGAAGACAACTTCCCGGAGGTCAATTTTAGCAGCCACGGATTTAGCAGCCCTTGCCCGGCTTCCGAGCATCTGTGAGCGAGGCATCGGGGGAGCGAAGAGCAGCAGGGCGACCCCACGCCCCGTGAGCAGGTCTGAACACCCATCCCGGCTTTTTCCCTGCAGACGCCGTCGGATGCCGCTGCTGCTCCAGCTCCCCCCAATCCTCCATTAGACGGACGATATATATGTATGTATATATATATATATATATATATATATATAATATATATATATATATATATATATATATATATATATATATATCGAACCCTTACACACTCGAGGGAGATTCTGAATCACCCCTGCGCCCCCGACATCAATGTTGATCTCAGTAAAGGCGCTGCTTCGGGGTTCGAATGTGTCTGTCCACTCGCGCCCCCCCCCCCCCCGTCGCCACGCCATCCACATCAACTTCGGGGGGTCTGGGGGGCATCCTGGGCCACAGGGCTCGAACGTAATGTCCACGTGCGGTCCCACCAGAATCCCTGCTGTGTTTCCCTTTCTGCCGTGCGCGGGCTCCCAGCGCGGCAGCTGGAGAGAGAGCTCGGGGGGGACGGAGACCGTGCCGGCGACCACCCAGGCGCGGTGCGACGCGGAGGAGGGAGGGGAGAGAAGGAAGTGGCGGGGGATGGGAGCCCTCAGCGCCGCTGACACGCCAACCCAACGCTATCGAGCACGACAGTGATCTGTCTTGGCATCTGAATCATCGACCCTCCCACTTTTGGCGTGCATCGATCTGCAGAGAGGCTCGCCGCCGAGTGTTTGCAAAGATCCGTACCAGAGGTACATCGAGACCCTCTCTCCGTCCTCCTCCTCCTCCTCCTCCTCCTCCTCCTCTTCCTCCTCCTCCTCGCCCTCATGCACGTCCTCCTCCTCCCCCCCTCTTCCTCATTATCCCACTCCTTTCCCCAAAACTTCACCCCCCACCAGTTCCCCCACACCATCACCCTCGCCACCTCTACCTACTCTCTTTGCCTCCTCTTCCTCCTCCTTGTCACTGCTTCTGCTACTGCCCCTGCTACTGCCATTGCTTGCTGCTGCTACTGCTGTCACTGCAACCAATACTGCTGCTCCTGTTTCTGCAGGTGCATCTGATACGGATACTGCTCTCTGCACCACACCAGCTGCTCATATCCAACTGCCAGCTGCCTGATGCCCACTGCCAACTGCCCATGGATACTGGGACAACAGCTGGAACGAAGACACTCCTCCCAACACGAGGTCGGGGCATAAACGACGGAGTCGCGCGGAAGCTCCACTGGCGCAGGCCACGCCGAGGCGCCGATGGCCCCGCCGATTATTCACACGGCCACCCTCGTCAAGAGCGGCAGGCGGCTCCTCCGGAAGGCCCACCACTTCGTAAGAGCCTCGCCGAGGGGTGGCAGTCTCTGGATGGCCGGCGGGCCTCCCTCGTCCTCTTCGTCCTTCGCGTCATGCTCGTCCTGCTCCTCCCGCTGCTCCCGCGGCCCCTCATCCTGCTTCCAAGCTCGCCCAGCAGCTCGCCACAGGGGCCCTCGCCCTCGCACTGCTGCAAGGCAAAACTGCATCGCGCTCCTACCGCTCCACGCTATCCTCTTCCTCCTCCTCCTCCTCGTCCTCCTCCTCCTCCTCCTCCTCCTCCTCCTCCTACCTACTCTTCCTTCGCCTTCTTCTCGAGGGGGGGGGCGATTCGGCGAGGGCTGGTGGGGAAGGGGAGAGAAGCGGAGGTGCCCTAGCGCCCAACCTCTTGCTCCGAAGAGGAACCCACCATAGCCGAGCTTCCTATCAGTGCGCCTTGGGCCCTGCTGTCGCCGCCATCCGTCCGGAAACACGCTCGGCTCATCGGCGCCGTCAGTGCAAGCAGCGTCGAAACTCCCTCTGCCCCTTGTGCAGAACAGCGCAGGCGTCTGACCATCTTCAGGAGACGGCAGTGCTGGGGCCCGTGCAATGGCGGGCAGGGCGCACCGTTACACGTGATCGATCCAGCAGTCCTGCAGAAGAAGGCACTGGCAACATACGCCCCAGCGAGAAACCCAGGATGAGGACCACGGGTACGAGGACGACGACGATGATGAGAGGGAAGACGAGGTTGACGAGGACAAGGGATTGCTGCAGGGGCATGGAACGGTCAGTGATACCCTCAAAGGAAGCGCGATGAAGCAGAGCACCTACAAGAAGTCCAGTAACGAGCTTACGAGCTTACATTCCTCCTGCTGCTGCTGCGGTCAGCCCTGATGACAAGGTCGTGGTGTTCATGCCGTGCACACATACACGCAATTTCACACAAGAGGACGAGGAGGAAGAGGACTCCTGCATGCAAATTCCCCAAGGAGTGCTTGCGCTCGGGGTTCTTGCTTGTTTTCTAAGGAACTCGGCCCGCGCGTCGGTCTAGCGGCTAGGTGGTCGCTTTGCCCCGTCGCCGCCTCGTCGCCCCCCGTCATCTGGGCCTGCACGTCGGTCTGGCGACTATATGGTCGCCGTCGCCGCCCCGTCGCCGCCCGTCGTCTGGGCCTGCGAGCCGGGTCCGCCACTTTGCGGTTGCCATCGCCGCCCCGTCGCCGCCTCGTCGCCGCCCGTCGTCTGGGCCTGCGAGTCGGGTCCGCCACTTTGCGGTTGCCGTCGCCGCCCCGTCGCTCTGGGCCTGCCCGTCGGTCTGGCGACTGCGTGGTCGCCATCGCCGCCCGGCTCCGTCTGGGCCTACATTGCTTTGCATTGCTGTGCTTTACTTTGCAGTGCGTTGCATTGCTTTGCATTGCTTGGCACCATATAAATTTCACCACATGAAGCGCACCACCTAGATTGTACCTAATAATAATAAGAAGAAGAACTCACAGTTTTGGGTCCACATTTGCTAACATTACACTCATGCAATGTATTCCTCATTCTCCCTGTCCTCCTCCCCATCAACGATATAAACAGGGCGGCTGGAGGCGAAATCTAACGAAATCTGTCTCCTCGTCCTCCTGTTCGTGGTCTTCTTCCCGTCCCCCTTCAGCCGAGATCGACAGCACTCGATGCCGCCTTGAACACAACAGTGAACGAGATGGCCATCCAAACGCCGGTGACGCCGTAGCTCCTGCAAAGCCTCCCCGCAGCTGGTCCGCACTGTCCAATCCTCCCTCGTCGTCGTAGGCCTCCTCCTCATCGTCCTCCTCATCCGCCATATCCTCCTCCTCCTCCTCCTCCTCCTCCGCCTCCTCCTCCTCCTCCTTCCTCCTCCTTCCCCTCCTCCTCCTCCGCCTCCTCCTTCTCCTCCTCCTCCTACTACTCCTCCACCTCCTCCTCAATATTTTCATCATCGTCGACTCCATCACCATCATCGTCGACATCATCACCATCAACACCATCACTACCATCATCATCAGCATCGTCATCATCATCAGCATCATCATACTCATCAGCACCATCATCAGCATCATCATCGTCATCATCATGAGCATCATAATCATCGTCATCATCATCGTGATCAGCATCCTCATCCTCAGTCTCGTCATCATCAT